ATGGGATGCTGAATGAGAACAGTGAGAAGAGTCTTCAGAAGGAAGGACCTGAGCAAATGGCCCCATATGTGGGAAAAGCTTCAGTGAGAGTTCAAGCCTTGTTGCACATAGGAGAGCCCACACAGGGGAGAAACCCTTCAGCTGCTCTGAGTGTGGGAAAAGTTTCAGTTGGAAATCACATCTTAATATACATAGGAGAAAGCACACAGGGGAGAAATCCTTCATCTGCTCTGAGTGTGGGAAAAGCTTCAGCTGGAAATCACATCTTATTAATCATATGAGAATCCACACAGGAAAAAACCCTTTCAGCTGCTCTGACTGTGGGAGAAGCTTCAGTAAGAGGTCAGACCTTGAAAGACATAAAAGAATCCACACTGGGGAGAAACTCTTTTATTGCTCTGACTGTGGGAGAAGCTTCAGTAGGAGCTCAAATCTTTTTAGACATGAGAGAACCCACACAGGAGAGTCGTGTTTTAACTGCTCTGACTGTGGGAAAAGCTTCAGCGACCGGTCACACCTTGTTAGACATAGGAGAGTCCACACAGGACAGAAACCCTTCAGCTGCTCCGACTGTGGGAAAAGTTTCAGTCAGACCTCAGCCCTTGTTATCCATAGGAGACTCCACACAGGAGAGAAACCCTTCAGCTGCTCTGACTGTGGGAGAAGCTTCAGTAAGAGGTCAGACCTTGAAAGACATAAAAGAATCCACACTGGGGAGAAACTCTTTTATTGCTCCAACTGTGGGAGAAGCTTCAGTAGGAGCTCAAATCTTTTTAGACATGAGAGAACCCACACAGGAGAGTCGTGTTTTAACTCCTCTGACTGTGGGAAAAGCTTCAGCGAGAGATCAGACCTTGTTACACATAGGAAAATCCGCGCAGGAGAGAAACCCTTTAGCTGCTCTGACTGTGGGAAAAGCTTCAGTGAGAGTTCAAGCCTTGTTGCACATAGGAGAGCCCACACAGGGGAGAAACCCTTCAGCTGCTCTGAGTGTGGGAAAAGTTTCAGTTGGACCTCAACCCTTGTTATCCATAGAAGAGCCCACACAGGGGAGAAACCCTTCAGCTGCTCTGACTGTGGGAAAAGCTTCAGTCAGACCTCAACCCTTGTTATCCATAGGAGAGCCCACACAGGAGAGAAACCCTTCAGCTGCTCTGACTGTGGGAAAAGCTTCAGGCACAGTTCACACCTTGTTAGACATAGGAGAACCCACACAGGAGAGAAACCTTTCAGCTGCTCTGACTGTGGGAACAGCTTCATTTGATGGTCACAGCTTATTAGCCATAGGAGGAGTCACACGCGGGATAAACCGTTCAGCTTCTCTGACTGTGGGAAAAGCTTCAGTCAGACCTCAACCCTTGTTAGACATAGGAAAACCCATACGGAAGAAGCTATTCACCTGCTCTCACTGTAGGAAATGCTGCAGTCAGAAGTCACACCTTGTTATCCATGAGAACTCTCACAGAAGAGAAATCCTTTAACTGCTCTGACTTTGGGAAATGCTATAG